GGATCATATCACGATAGATTTTATCAGGAAATTACCTCGAATTCCAAAGGGAGATGATGCCATATGGGTAATCGTGGATCGTTTGTCTAAATTTGCTCATTTTCTACCAATAAGAGAAAGTTATCCATTAGAAAGGTTAGCTCAGATTTATATCAAGAAAATTGTAACCAGACACGATGTTCCATTATCCATTATCTCTAACAGAGATAGCCGGTTTACTTCAAAATTCTGGGAAAGTTTTCAGAAGGCTCTGGGTCTCAAGTTCGGTTAAGTACGATGTACCATCCACAAACAGATGGGCAAAGTGAGAAAACAATCTAGACTCTCAAAGATATGTTAAGATCCTGTGTTATTGACTTTGGGGGATCATGGGAGGATCATCTGCCATTAATAGAATTTGCATATAATAACAGTTATCACTCTAGCATCCAAGCAGCACCGTATGAGGTTTTATATGGTCGTAAATGCCGAACGCTGTTATGTTGGAATGAAGTGGGTGAGAGATAGTTGACAGGTCCCAAAATTGTTCAATTAACTTCTGAAAAGATTGAACAAATCTGCGAAAGAATCAAAACAGCTCAGGACCGCCAGAAAAGTTATGCCGATAAACGCCGGAAACCAATTAAATTCTATGTGGGTGATTTTTTGATGCTAACAGTTTCTCCATGGAAAGGTGTTAGTAGATTTGGAAAGAAAGGTAAGCTCAGTCCAAGATATATGAGCCATTTAGAATTTGCAAACGGATTGGACCACTGGCTTATCAGTTAGGACTACTGTAGGAGCTCAGTTTAATTCACAACACTTTTCATGTATCAAATTTGTGGAAATGTCTAGCTGATCCAAGTCTAACAATACCATTTCCAGAAGTTAAACTAGACAACAAACTGAACTTCGTGGAAACACTAAAAGCTATAACTGACCGAAAAATCAGGGTGTTGCGGAACAAAGAAATCAGTTTGGTAAAAGTGCAGTGGCATTTTCATAAGGGTACAGTGGCAACTTGAGAATTAGAATATAAAATGAGAACCAAGTATCCATGGCTATTTCATTAAATGAATTCTAGAATGGAATTCTTTTGACGGGTGGATAATGTGATCATCGGGATTTAAGGCAACAACAGTTGGGGTAATTTTTATGTGAATATGTGATAATGTGCATATTTATTTATGAGATTAATTATATGCATAGGTAAAATGCATGGATGGTAAAATGCATGGATGATATACATATATATATATATATATATATATATATATATATATATAGGGGCTGGTTCAAATAGAAATCAACCATATGGTACAAACTATGTGAACCGATCTTGATCGTTCATTTTATCATCAAAC